TGCCAAGGTGTGTCCCCGCCGTGCTCCCCCCCGCAGGACGAGGACGGGCTGGTGCGGGGGCTGTCGGTGCTCTGCAACCTGGCCGACCAGCTGTACTACCCCTGCGAGCATGTGGCCTGGGCGGCCGACGCCGGCGTCATCCCCGCGGGCTCCCAGAGGTGGTGGACGCTGAGCACGGGGCTCTGGGCCTGCTCCCTGCTCCTGGGCATCCTGCGGTAAGGCTGCGCGGGGGGCTGCAGCCTGCTCTGCCCTGGAACCTCCAGCGAAGGACCCTCTCTGCTGCAGAAGGGTGATCTTCCTCACAGCTGCTGGAGAAAAGAAAACCCCTCCCTTTGGATGCTACAGGAGGAATAACTCTGTTGTCTTGTTTTCAGATCTCTGAGAATCTTGTTCCGGTTGAGAAGAAAGCTGCGGCAGCACAAGCGGTATGATTTCTCTCCTTGGCTGTACATCATTGAACCCAAATACATCTGTTCTCATTTGTGAGCTGTCGCTAATTGTTATTACGTTATGGGCCGTTACTAATATTACTTTTGCTTCCAGCGGTACGTCTTCACCTCCAAGTGGGAAGGAAGTGAGAGCCCGAGTGAAGGCTGAAGTGTTGAGCATCCTCGCAGGCATGGCAGATCTCGCCAACGCAATCCACTGGCTGCCTCCAGGATTTCTTTGGGCTGGACGCTTTCCTCCGTGGTTAGTAGGTCTCCTGGGGACCGTATCTTCCCTGATTGGTATCTACCGGGCATCTAGAGGAGGAAATTCTGAAGCTGTCTAAACCATCACGAAGCTTCAGGAGCCCAGTTTTTAACTGGTGACGCCTTTGGTGAGGCAGGGTGTATTTTAACCTTCCTGGGTGTCGATGAGTGTAATTCGTGCATCCTGTAATTGGGGCTGTAGTCAAGATGTCTATTACGGAGAGGATCGTTTACAATTAACAATGATTATCCTTATCAGAGAAATCTTTCAGGCTAATCCCCTGAAAATCAGGACATCTCCTAGGATTGGTAAAATAGAGGGGAAAAAAGTCACTTCCATCCGTCTGTCTTCTGTCCCAAAAGACAAATGCAACCCTCCAGTCTTCGCTGTCACTTCAAAGAGCACAAAGTCAGTGCTGGGTGGAGAAACGCCCCCGGTTCTGTCACACAAAACTTCTACGGGATGGATGCTGCGAGTTTGAGCTCCAGGCTCAGCACTTGGTGCCTCTTCTGACCCAGGGAGGTGGCCGGGATCCTGGAAGTTTCTCTGTCAGATATTTTGGTGTTGGAGCCCAGAGCAGATCCCCCAAGCACAAACAGGAGCAACGGCTGAGGGAGGTTGTTGGGTTATTTTGTTTGTGACGGTTGTGTCCCTTTAGAAAGAGCAACTGTACGCCGTGCCTTGTGAAGCTTTCTTCTAGTCTGTGTTACTCATTTAAGGAGAAATTCTGGAAGTTGGGGCTTCCCAGTTAAACCAGAAGCAGCGCTGAGCCTCCAGCTGTGCCTTCACGAAATGCCACCGGGTGGAGCTCTTCCACCAGGCTCTGGCAGCAGCCAACTGGACTTTTTTTTTTTTAAAAAAAAGTAGCAAATCTATTAATCACGTTTCAAAGGACTAATCAAACCAATGCCAAGATGAGTTTTGCAGTTATATTTCTAGGCGGTGCCAATAATAAACAAGACGAATGCTTCAAAGGTGGCCTTGAGTGATCATTCCTTCTGATAACTGGGCAAATGTTGTTTATCTGGTTCTAGAAAGCTCCAAAGAGTGCCTAGCCTAGGCAACAGAAAACATTTGTGCTGTGTTGGCTGCAGGTCCCCATCTGTTACCAGCCTTTCTTCTCACAAAATAATTCAGAGCACCTGACTGCCATGGAAATGCATCTTTTGAAAACAGTTCTGCTTAGTCTGCGTGGTGCTTGTGCTCCCTGCAACGCAGTACAGCACAGACCACATTTCCAGGAGGTTTAACCTCTTTTTTTTGTTGTTGTTGTTGTTTTTGGCCCGGACATGAAAAGCTTTCTCCTGCCTGTGTTCAAAGAGCAGAGCGAGGTCTTGATACTCTCTGTCCTTTGCCCTGTCCTTGCTGGTTATCTGGACCTTCGCTCTGTGAAGTGCCACAGAGGACGCCTTCCTGACTGGGCTCAGAGTTTGGTGTCAGATTTACAGGTTTTGGTGCAATACGGAGTGTGGGCAGGCATTCTCTGGAAAAAGCTCTCGTTTTTTACTCTAGCCGTGCTGCAGGTCTTGTGCCTGAACAGGCAGAGCACCCAGGTCCTGCTGCTTGGGGACAGCTGTAGCTGCTGCTGGGTCCTGTCACCCTCCCTGGTGGCTCCTGCTGCAGTTTAGTGGCTTTTAATAAGAAATCAGATTCTATCTCTTTGTATTGTTAACCTGGTTAAACCATTCGTTCAGATCACACTGTCCTGCTTAGCATGGGACACGGTGTAACTACAGTGATTTAAAAAACCCCAGACACACACACCTCTGAGGCCAAGTGAGTGAAACTCTAAACCACATTTTTAATTTTAGCATAAAGGACACTGTAAACTGCTCTGTGTGTTTGCTTTATCCTCATTGAGCAATTTTAAATTGCAGCCAGCGAAGCGCAGGACAAACATGCAAAGATAATTCAGAATTCCTGAAATTTGTATTTTCTGTAGAGTGGATTTAGCCCCCAGTGGCACATAGTATTTAAGCACCTCTGGTGGCTGCTGCTGACTGTCCAGAGCAGCACTCGCTCTTTTGTAGCACAAGACCTTGCACGGGCAGACCCGATTCTCCCAAAACCTGTTCTATTTTTTTTTTTTCTCCCCTTCTCTGCTGCGGCCAACAGCCCAACTCGCCTCCTACTTTACCCCATGCAGAAAAACATTTGCTAAGCGGGGATGCTTTGTTCCGGCCGTGACAAGCCGAGCTCAGAGCCGGGAGCTGCTGATCCTGCTCCGAGCCCTCGCTCCTGCTTTTAAGGCCCCTGACGGTGGGCTGACGCCATGCCCGGCGCTGTAGCCGGGTCTTATAAGCATCAGACGTGCCCTACCCTCCGCTTTTCGGCTGCTGACCGCTGCCGAAGCCTTGCTGCCGGGGGGAGCGGTGTT